TTGGCTTCTAAGAATTATTCATTTTTGTTCAGTTTGCTGAAAATGTCAGTTTAAGTAGCTAGCCTATGAATTTAAAATAGCTTCACTATCTCAAAGTTAGTGCACCTTCCTTTAAATTTCAGTTATTGTTCTGCCATAGGGTTTTATTTGCATTATGGTATTTCAGGAAGTAAGCCTAAAATGGGGCCCGGGGAGAGAATCTGCTGAATTTTACAAGTTGAAAACAATTACTTTCATCAAAGATATTTGCTATACATTTTGTGCAGTGACTTTTCCACCCTGAAGCAGATAAAGAAACACTGGCCACATTATTTAAAAACAAAACTTGATTCTTTATTTGAAATGTTTCTTATGCTTTGACCACATCTCTGTATCCTGTGTCAAAACACTTTGATTGTTTTAATAACCAGTATATTAATGCTCATGAAGATCATGTCCACTCTAAGTCCTTGGAACTGTTAAATATTATGATTTATAAGGGAAAATTGACATCTGCCAAAATCCTAATTTTTTAAAAAAGAGATTCAATCAATAAACATCATAGGGTAGCAAGCCTGTGGCTATATAGAATTTCATGGTTATCATTATGCTACAGTGGTCGCTCAAAACTTCATGTGGATAGCTGAAATAGAACCTCAGCTCCTCCTTTAGAAGCTCAAGTGCTAATCACTGGAGCTAAAGAATGACGTCCAATCGCTATTAGTTGTCTAGGGCCTATGGTATTTCACTAGATATGCTTCCATCCAGGAGAAAATAGTGGCATGCACAGACTAGCAAGTCCTATATAATATCTTTAAAAACTTAATTCCCATAGCTATATTATAATACTGATGACTTAAAACCTTTAATGTGATTTGTTTACATTTTCCATTTCTCTCAGCTTGGACAATAAAAATTGGCCAGTCAATTTCACTTTTGTTTATAGTCAATTTCACTTTGCTTTACACCTGCAATAAATAGCACCATGCTGCAATGTTTGGACTCTCCAAATTTTTTTTTTTTTTATAAAGTAACAAATATTTATTTAAACAAGTCTCAAAATGTAACACACCAGAAAATGCTGCTATGCACACTGATAGTATCTCAACCATTTGTTTCTATAACAAATCAACCTGCGATTTCGATTAGAAATAAAAGGCTGTTTCCCTGGCAGAGTTTCCAATCAATTGAAACATTACACACACATAGTATTTATAAAAATAAAGTTATACACAGGCACACACATAACACAATCTATATTATAACATTAGGTTTTATAAAAGTTTATTTTTTTAAAATTCTAAATGTTATGGTTAATCTGACCTTATCAGTGACAGCGACTTCATGCACTATTGAAATGTAATTACCTAGATGCAATCTTTCTGCTTATCTAGAAATACTTTCCGGCTGAGTATGAAACTGAACAGCATACATGTTTTTTAGTTGTCTTGCTAAGTCTCCAGGAAGGCTCTCCTTGTTGCTTCGGCTCCTGGCATTTTTAAATCAGGAAGCTAATTTCAAATGCTTATGGATCAAGGAACATAGGGTTTAAATATTGATGAAAATGAGCAATGAATGGTTTCCCCCCCTGGACACGATCATGAAGAAATGAAATGGCAGCATTAAAACACATTCAGCACTTGCTTAAGGCTACTGGCTATTCTGTCCTGGAATATATATTTTATTAAAGGGTAGCGGCTGCCGATCTATACATATTAAATTTTAAATAACACATTGGCATTTGAGATAACTCAAGAAAATGTGATGAGAAAAGGTGTCGAGGAAGATATCTCAGCAGAAGTTTAGCTCACACCAACTATGCGCCGAACAAGGGATCCCTGGCAGACGGTGCCTGCCCTAGACAGCCTGTGGGTGAGGTTCCAAAGAGAAGAGAGAAAATGCCCAAACTTCCCCCTTTAAAGGAGAGGTTTGAGACTACAGCTTTACTGATCAATGGGCAGCTGGGGTCCGCCCCTTTTCTGTTTGGAAGGGGAGACTGACAAGAATACGATTACTGCAGACAGACAGATGGACACACAAGCCAACGGACAGGGCCGGCTTTAGGAAGTGCGGGGCCCAATTCGAACAGTTTCGACGGGGCCCCAGCAGGGATGACTAAAAAAAAAGCCACTTAAAAAGAACCCTTTCATTTCTTCCATGTATTATTTACTTTCCATGACTAAATAAATAATAAAATTATATATTACATACATTGCGTCATATATTAATTAGCTGATTTTCACTTTCATATTAGGAAAATAATTCATGTTTTGATAGTTGTACAACTGATTTTCCTCAATAATGTTTATTTTATTAAAATTTATAAAATATTTCCTTATTAATATAAAATTGTGCCCTCCTCCCCCCCCCCCCAGCGCCTCCCGGCCCGCGGAAACAAACCCTGTTTCCCCAGCGCCGCCCCGCCAAAACAGCTGTGGGCTGAAAAGGAAGGTTTGGGGGAGGGGGGGGGTGACATAGGGTGACCAGATTACAGCAGTAAAATAGGACCCGACCCCTCCCCGCTCAGCCCCACCATCACACCCATCTTCACTCCCTAGCCCCCTGCTGGCTTGCTGTGTCCCTCCTAGTCAGTCCCCCACCCACCACTTGCCTCCTTTCACCTTCTCCCTCCCCTGCCAGAAACCCCCATGCCCGCCCCTAGAACCCCTGCTGGCTCACTGCTTGCCTCTTTGCCCACCCGCCGCTTGCCCACCTGCTCGCCCCCCCCAAGTATAAAGCCTCATTCAAAGACCCAGGGGTCACTATATTACTGCACACAGCAGTCAATCAGTGCAGTTGTAGATAAATCTCTGCATTATGCATTTTTGTATAACTTTTATATGACTTTGTATTGAACCTTGGTAATGTTATAGCTGGCCCCTAAGGTAGTATAATTAAGGTAAAAGAAAAATGTCTTTTTGCTAGAAGTAGAATAAGATCTTCCCCCCACTTTGTAATCAATTGACCTGTTGAATGAATGAGGTGTGAATGAGGAAGGTGTGGAAGGCAGGCACTTCCAGACAGCTGCAACCCTTGGAGCGGGGCTGGGAGCCAGCCAAGGAGAGTTTTGCCCAGGGCTGAGTGGGACAGAGTTTGGGTGCAGGCTCCGGGTTGGGGCACGGTGTGGGGTGCAGGATGGGTGGAGGGGTGCAGGCTCTGGGAGGGAGTGCGGAGGGGTGGGTGCAGGCTCTGGGACAGAGTTTGGGGGCCGGAGAGGGGGTGGTGGGTGCTGGGGGGGAGGGGACTGCCATCACATGTGGCTTCCTTCCTCCCCTGCTGCCCCTGACCATAGCCTCGGTGGGGGATGGGGCTGCCCCTTGCCCAGTGTTTGCAGGAGTGGTGGCTGGGGGGAAACCCAGTCAAACTCTGGTTTTACTCTTTCGTTGATGGGTCACTTTAACCCCTTACAAATGCCTTCCTGCCTCTCTCACCCCCCTTTTCTACTGGGCTTGTTTGATCTTTTTGGTGGAGCCAGATGAAAACCACAAACCCCAGCGAGAGCAACAGGCTGGAAGACTAGACTGAACCCACCACCCACCCAGCCTAGTCCATCCCAGAGCCCAGGACTGAGGGCAAATGTCCCGCCACCCCCGGGCCACCTGCTTCTACTCCTGGCCTCTCCTAGCGCCGCCAGCGATTCTGGGTGGCTGCATCGGGCTGGATTTCAACTGGACCCCCCCCCCCGCTAAATTCACCCCTGTTTTGCGACTACTCTGCCCCAAGAGCACCTTCCTTCCCTGCCCCAGAGCTGCTGGATGGCTAGAAAGCTGAGCTGGGTGTTTGATCGATCCGGAATATTATCGTGCCCCCCCCCCAAAAAACCTTAATGTCCACACAGCTTTGGAGGGGGGGGGGATATTCCTCCCCCCCCAAAGCCGGTCTATTTTATAGTTGCAGGGCAAATGAAGGAGCCAGAGTTTAATGGAAATATTCAGCCCCTACAGTGGTCTTGCAGCAGGGGAAGCAGAGTTGATGGAAAGGGAACTGGTTTGGATAGGAGCCCCCGTCCCCCTCCTTTGCAAAATAATTTGGGGAGGGGAATCAGATCACTCCGTGCCTCAGTTTCCCCTCTCTCGGGGGAGAGGGGAGAGATAAAAGTCTCAGCCTGCCGTGTTGCAGACCTTTCGCATTCTCCCCTCTTGATGTATTTGATTTCCTCCTCCAAACCTCCCTCTCTCTCTCACCTGGAATTCACAGCACTAAGTACTGGCTCGGGGCTTTCTTCCTGGGTTACATGATCCCGAGTTTAGTTTTGAAACAGACACAGGCAGGCACCAACTCACCCTCAAACAGCAACACCCCCGAAAACCACAAAACCAACCCAATATTACAAACCTATGGGGAATCAGGGGGTCAAACACTCACCGACCGAAGCCCCAGCAGCTGCTAAGGTGAGTGAGGTCCACTGCAGAGATTCCTGTCTCCCACCGGACCGGAAGCCCCCTAGGTGTCTCCTCCAGGTGAGTGCTGGGGGGAGGAGAGGGGAAGGCTGCAAAGCACATGTGCCTTCTCCCCCCTTCCCCCCTCCTGACCTGCCTCAGCCCCCTGCCGGCCAGCGTCAGCCCCACAGACACAAAGGCAGGCACTCAGCAGACAGGCACATAGGCACGCTGCGGATGATCACCCAAGGAGCCACACAAAGACACCGAGGCGCTCAAGAGGCTCGGATAACACACAGAGAGACAAGCACACACACAGAGCTAGCTCCCTGCTGGTCAGTTTCACGCTCGCCCGAGACAGCTGTGCGGGCAGACGCCTCCGTTGTGGGCCTCCCCCTTTCTCCTCCTCCTCCTCAGCAACTTCCAGCTGCAGGAAACTTCCCATCGGCTGCCCTGGAGGATCCCAGAATAGCCACAACAACATCCTCCTCCTTCCTCCCAGTCCAAAGGCGAGCCGGAGAAAGGGGGAGGAAGAAACAAGGCGGGGGAGGGCAAAAATGGGCAATGGAAGTTGGAGTTGATTGGTGCCGCTGAGAGGCTGATGATCGCATCTCAGGGTAGGGACGGGGAGGAGGAGTGGAGCTGGGGGAAAGCTTGCACGCCCGCCCACCCCCAGTTGCCGCTGCTTCTGCTTTGATGCAAAGGAATGAAGAGGGGTTTCCTGAGGGGAGAGCGTGTGGTTGATCCGAGGTGTGTTTGCTGGTGGCTGCAGACCTGCCGCCCTCTTTCCTCCCCATGCGGGCGCTTTCCCCCAGAGGCTCTGAGTCCTGGTTGCTCCTACTGCGGGATGGAGACGCATGCTTTCTGGCTAGTGCAACTTTTCCTTTTCGTGCTGTGGGGTAAGTAGCTGGCTTGCAAGATGATGCTCAGAACATCTCGGGCAAATGGTCAGTAAAAAGCACCTGGAGAAGTTATTAGCACTCCTCACTTACTAGCATGTATGAGTCTTTGCTGTTCTAGGAAGGTGTTTTGTCTTAAATAACTTAAAGCATTTATTATATTACCCCAGCAACAAAAGTGTTTTAAGGTACTGGTTTGTGGGTTTCCCTTACAAGATAAAAGGAATAGATTTTTGCCAGGTATCTTTAGCTGAATGTAAATGTGGAAATGTAAACCCTTTCTACAAGTCCTGATTCTGCTGGAGAAGCAGAGCCCTTCCAGAAAGGTGATTTCATAAGGGGTTATTACATGCCAGAGAGAAAACAATCATACACAACCTCCCCCTCCATAATTCCCACCTCACTTAAATTATTCGGTAACAGTCTGAGTAAGGGAATCTGAAAAGAAGCCCTTCTCTAAGGCATTAATGAGTTTGTGGCTGTCCTCGAGGAAGATGTGCTGGGTTGTATTTTGTAAGGTTAGTGGCTTTTTAGTGTCAAAGGCATTTTTGTGAGACTATATTAGCTGAAGTCTGATTTTCACCTAATTTACTGGAGCTGTATATTAAAAATAAAGACTAGGGAAAGGCAACTTGGGTTATAAAAGAATAGATCATCTGTTTGGGAAGAGGATTTTTCTAAGAGCAGAAGGAATCTCTTCCTATGATATCAAGCACTGGGAACAGACCTCTGATAGTGTCCTGGTGAGAAAGGAGAAGCTGTCTCCAGCCCTCTCCTTGTTTCCCCACACACGCCTTATCAATTAGTTACAGTGTGAGAGATGTGTACATTTCACCCAGGGTGTTGATGATGCTGTGACAGGCACAGAACCACCTCCTTCTCAGCCATGCAGCAGATGGCTGCTGTAAGACCCAGAGAACAAGAGTGAATAAATGTAAAAATAAGATGCCAAATCCTGAAAAGCGTTGATAACTGAATTGGGGTTAGCTTGATCGTGTACACAGGAACTGTATGGCTTTTCCCCCCCCCCTTTCTTCTTGCAGTGATATTAACTAAGGTAGCACATTTTTCTGTAAAATAGTTCAAAATAATCATCTTTGACATGGTAGCTGGCTGCGTATAGATTTGGCCAATTCCCGAAGTCCTCACTCAGGCACAGTGGTCATTTTCCTTGAATGAGAGCTGTAAGATTGGTAACTTAGGTTTTGACCACCAGCCCAACATCCCGTAAGCCAATTTTGCCAGGAGATGAGTCAAGACATACATTACTATAGACGCTCACTTTCCAGGAAGAATGAATTGACTAACTTCTGAATTATATTCATCCCTTTCACACCAGCTTTAGTGTGGGCTCCCTCCCCCCCCTTTGGGAAGCAGGGAATTTTCCTGGTCCGGAGGCTGGATGATTCTATTTAGGATTTGCTCAAACAGTTACTTGTAACTGTGCAGATACCTTTCAGATTTTTCACATTCTTTAACTTCAGTTTACACTATGTTGTTAATCATTGATATTTCATTTCCTCCCCTTGTAGCTGTCTTTAGGAATTCAGGATTTGAAACCTTATAGTCAAATCCCAAGTTACCGACAGAATCTTATTCTGATCTTATTTACACCAGTCTAACTCAGATGATGACAGTGGAGTTACTCTTGATTTACACAGATGTAAGTGAGAGGAGAATCAGGCCCAGAGTATTTAGAAGGGTATTCCATGTACTTTATAGGAGAGAAAAACTTGAGACCAGAAGTTAGAGATCTTTACATGAAAAGGCCTATAAATAAGAGGAACATCTGGTTCTGACAATTTTCAGAAACGATGGGCCTCTAGTAACATTTTTTGCTTTAAAAAAAAGTAAAATGTCCATTTTGGTGGATTTTTCTCTCAACATTGTTTGAAACCTACCTTATGCAGTCAAATGTTTTGTACATTTCCATTTAAAATGCATTTCAGAATACAAACTTTCCTGACACCTAATGGTTGATTTCTTTACTGCTGAACATAGGGAAATAATCAGTAAATTTTGAGTAGGAGAAACTTCCAGTGTTAGATTTTGCCATGACTCTCACAAGTGAAACATGTTTACTAAGGATTTATTCCCAGAGAATGAACGGACTGAGGACTACTCTTCCTGTACCTCCAACAATTACACACAGTTCTCACCAGAGACACTAACAGGTCAGTCCCAGACTAGAGTTTCTTGTCTAGGCCAGTTGCTCACCTAACTGAATTTTACTGAAGAACTGATTTTCATGGTGGTCTACAACTGACAATGGATTGTTTTTGATGAAAAGCGAAGGGATAGATTTTGCATGAACAACAAAGATGTAAATGGAATCAAACTAATTCCCTGATTTAAAACCAACTTTTTATGATTACTAAAAAATTCACAATGTGGAATCTGACTATTATAAATAATACTCAATAAGTGTAGTAAGTGTAAGCCAACTACAGTTTGCGCTGATTCTTCTGATGGCAAATAATACAAACATGATTCCTAGCATCAGTGATTCCCCAGGGATATTGACTTTAATTGAACACTTTGAACCATCGTTGTTCCTCCTTGTTTTTATTTCCGTATGATCCAGTTTAAACACTGACCCTTGTGCCTTTTCTCTTTCGGTCAGATGTTGTTATGGTTGATCAGTCAATGCTCCCGTTGAATTACTCAAAGTATATATTTTGAGAGCCTGTTCTGCACATCTATTTATCTTAGGTAATTTACATGGCACCCATTACCATAGTATATGAGTGCCTCACAGTGCCACAAAAATGTATTTTCATCACAACATCCCTGTGAGGTAGGGAAATGCTATTATCCCCATTTTTTTACAGATGGGGAACAGAGAAGCTAAGTGACTTGCCCAATGTCACACAGGGAGTCAGTGGTGGAGCAGGGATTTGAGTGCACAGCCATTTAAGAGTCCAGTAGCATATTTTACAAGAATAATTGTTCTGGCATCCTTTTTCAAACATTCCCCCCTCCATCCTGTAAAGATGGTTGCTTATTAGTAGTTCTGTGTCTATACGTAAGGATGAAAGATGCTATGTAAGTGTAAGAAGTTATCGTTTATATTGAAACTTCATATTTTTTTAATTGTACAAGTATCTGTCTCAGCAAAACATGTTAAAGTAGAAATGTGATAACTATCATGATCTTTAGCACTTTTAATGCCCAGATCTCAAAACATTCTACAAAGTTGTAAAGTATCATTACCACTGTATTTTACAGCTGGGGAACTGTAGCACAGAGAAGCGAAGTATTTTGCCAGAGTTGCCCAGCAAATCAATGTCAGATCTGGAAACTGAATATGGCTCCAGGCTCCCACTCTTGTATCTTATGCTCTGGACTACACCTCCACACTGCTAATTATCACTAGAGCTGTATAAGAAGGACCCGATCCTGGAAGGTACTTGCGTGCCTTTTGTAAATACAGAATGCCCTCAAGTTCAACTCCATGTAAGATTGGATTCTAGTGAGAAAGAGAAACGCATGAATGATTTACAAAAAAATTGATTAAATTTGAAAAAAACTTCCCTATCATCTTAGTGATGAATCTAGTCCACTGTTTTGTGGCTGAAAGGGTTGGGATGAAGGGAGTGAAAATCAGCGTGGGAACGACATTGAATACAATAGATCAAGGTGTCAGTCAGTCAGACATAAGTACGAGTCTGTGTGTACTCTTAAAATGAGAACATCTCATTTTGAAACAGACCAGACCAGCTTAGCAATACACTACTCTGCCAAAGAGCTGCTCTTGTTTGTTAGGGATCCTGCATGTTTTCAAACAGCAATCAACAGGAAATATAATCAACAAACTCTATTGCTATCACTTTTGAAGCAAAGCAGACAAATTCTGATGCAGCCTGTGCTTCCAAGTTGCTGTTAGATCCTGGCACAACTCCACCATACTTCACAGTTTCCATCTTCCTTCGCCCCCTCTTCCCCTCCCCCCATAACCTGAAGATTTCTAAGGTCTGCCCAGACCCCAGTGTACAGACTCATACTCGGTACAGTTAAGGTGACTGGAAAAAATGTACTGTGTTCATAAGAGAGAGATCTTCTGAAATGTACATGCATGTGCTGTGGGTGGCAGCAGAGAGCATCAAATATTCAAGCAAAACCACGCTGGTCCCAGAAGTCAAGAAGAATGACACCTACAAGATTAGAGGTCCATTCCAGATTAAAGATAGGAGATAGACGGACACACACAAATTGGCAGACTGATTCTGATCCCATTCCACTGATGCAATTCCACTGAATTCAGTGGAGTTACTCCTGATTTACACCAGTTTAAGTGAGAGTAGCACTTGGCTCTGACTCGTTTTTTTTTTACATGGGAATGAAATTGTCTCGTAGTGTGTGATTTAAAAAAAAAGTATGTTGTGTGTATATATACAAACACATACACACAATTTTATAAGGATATTATTGTGGACGAGTTCCTGGTGTAGGACAGCATGTCCTCAGTAAAAAGTGCACTAGGTGTGGTGGTTCTGCTTTTTAAGCCATATTTCTTTATTGCGCTGTCAAATTGTTATTTGTTTGAGACGCTGTTTTTCCACCACCTCAGTGCTGATTACAGAGCTTATTCACTGGTTGCCCTAATTGCAAGCAAATGAAATTCCACCTACTTCCACCAAAAAAAAAAAAGGAAAAAAAAAAAAAAAAAAAAGAAATTGCGCAAAGGGATCAATGAAAAACTTCACTTGCCAAATACCATTTGTCATCAACCTGTGGCTTTGTTTACTTCTCACATCTCTCTCTCGTAGCAAACTACCTTCCCCCATAGTGGTTGTCCACATACACATTTCTACTGTAATAATGACACCAATCTTAATTCACACCTTTGGTGGAAGTCTGTGTGTGGACACTTTCTGATTTAAAAATAAGAGTCCTATTTCAATAAAAAACAAAATTGAAATAGGACACTTATTCCAAAATACAATTTAATTTTGAAATAAGAGTGTCCATACAGACTTGCACTGAAATAAAAAGGTTGT